TGAGCGGTACTCAATTCTCAACACTTTATAGTGTTGGCATCAATGATCCCGAAGGACCAGAAAATATAACAACACTGAAGTGAAGTACGGGGCAACTTTTTACGGCTGCCACACGGCACTTGACACCTGCTGTTGTGAAGTACAAAATTCTGGAAACAAAGTGATCCCTCGGAAGCATTAATCACAACAAAATAACATAAGAATTGCAGACTCGGTTTGATTGAGTCTGTACATGAGAGATAATGAATAAGTGCAACATCCCTCACGCCCCCTAGCACCGGCTTGAGCGGTACTCAATTCTCAACACTTTATAGTGCTGGCATCAATGATCCCGAAGGACCAGAAAATATAACAACACTGAAGTGAAGTACGGGGCAACTTTTTACGGCTGCCACACAGCACTTGACACCTGCTGTTGTGAAGTACAAAATTCTGGAAACAAAGTGATCCCTCGGAAGCATTAATCACAACAAAATAACATAAGAATTGCAGACTCGGTTTGATTGAGTCTGTACATGAGAGATAATGAATAAGTGCAACATCCCTCACGCCCCCTAGCACCGGCTTGAGCGGTACTCAATTCTCAACACTTTATAGTGCTGGCATCAATGATCCCGAAGGACCAGAAAATATAACAACACTGAAGTGAAGTACGGGGCAACTTTTTACGGCTGCCACACAGCACTTGACACCTGCTGTTGTGAAGTACAAAATTCTGGAAACAAAGTGATCCCTCGGAAGCATTAATCACAACAAAATAACATAAGAATTGCAGACTCGGTTTGATTGAGTCTGTAAACACATTCTTCACAGTCTGTAAACACATTCTTCAATAATAAAATGGTAAAAAATTTAAAGCGTATGAACTAAGTGGGAGGATATGGTATTATTCAGCGCACCCTAGATCGCCGATTATATTTATTTTGATAAATCTTAAGCATGCGATTTCTTGACCAAATGTTCAGATGAATTGTAAATACAATCCTTTTTATATGCTTCTTTTTACATGCTTTTTTATGATGATAAGCGGCCGAAAGGCAATTTTTTCAAAGGGGAATTGTTCAAAAATAATTTATATAACATTAAATTACGTGACAATAACCGACATTTCTTCAGCTTGTTTATTTTGTACAAGCTTGTGTCACATCTTTTAAAAGAACGCTACATCCATACATTTCGAAAATAAACAGAAAGACGCCAACGACAAAAAACTTCATTGACTTTTGTTTACTCATAAGACTACGTTTCTCCAAAATAATAGCAAACCTGACTTGACCACAAGCCAAACTATTGTGTCTTGGGAAATAGATTTGACTTTAAGGTTGATTACCACTTTGATATCAGGATGGTACACTATGGAGGCTATTCGTTGCCAAAAATCCAGCCTTGTTGATCTTGTTGAACAGTTTGTTAATGGAAAAAATACAATTGTATTTCTTTGTATGTAAACTCCAATGTTGCATACTTGGATTGAGTTTGCCGATTTAACATTGTAAACATGCATTTCAACAAAATACATTTTGTTAAACGACAAAACATTAACTGATAGTAGTAATACCAAGTGTTCGAATACCCAAAACAGAAGTTACATTCTTAGCTTTACATTGTCGAACCATCATGATTCAGATCAGCATAATCCAGCTTTACACGTTTTTCAATAGGAGATAAAATAAGCTCCGCCCATTTTCCCGCCCACTAAATCATCGTAAATAAACGTATTTTCCGCTCATTTTCGGTATTTACCGTCGGCGACAAGAAGCGGCGTGGTTTCCGTTTATCATACCTTTTTGGTGTTTAGTTACTAAACATAATTCACTTGCATAATTGTCTACAATCAACATCAGCGGACTTTAAAGGAATATAGGCATATAAGTTTTAAAAACGTTGTAGACACCACATTTCCTGGAAAAAAGCCCCCAAAAACACCAGGTTACATACTGTCTGAGGTTAAATATTTTTCAAGGAAGTGAAAACTATTGAAATGACTATATTCAACGACAAATAAATTTTACTGATGGTATTTCAATTTGCATAGGAATGAGTAACATTTACAGATAAACTGCTATATAACCACTTTCAAATTTTCAAGTCAACATCTGATAGAGATTTTGATACGACTAATTACTAATACAGGCCAAATTCTGGCTGTTGTCTTTCCTAGTAGTACTATTATATTAGTAACCTTAATTCTAGCGTATGACTTGACAAGAAAAAAAAACCTTTAACAAAAGTAAAATTATAACCAAAGTTGTATGTACCCTTTCGTACATAACTTTTTATTTTTACCATATATTTTACCATTTTTCCCATTTTGTTTTTCAATAAGTAAAATTTAAATGAGTCTAAATGTATGTATGTTGATTATCAATTTATGTATACCTTGTTTATTTTATCTCTTAGAAAGCCATCACTTACAAAACTTAATAAATATTCTGTGTAGTATTTCATGTACATAAAAGTAGTTCTCTGTTTTTGATCATATAGACAGCAAATCTAGACAGCAAATCTAGGTAACAGCTAATGACAGCATATATACACATATTTTAGAGGTGCAATTGATTCAGCACAATGCATAAAAAGACCTTAACCTACGCCAGCTTACATATATTTAACATTAAAAGGCTAAATCACATCATATGACTCAAAATACCTCCCAATGGAGGTAAACAGAGTTGCCAGGATACACTGAATATTTATTTCAACATTAAAATGGGACAAATTCACAAGTTTTGGTTATACAACGGAATTATCGATAGTAAACTTTGCATTGTTTCGTGGTTATACACTTGGTCAAAAGTATGAGTTTTTCTACAACCCAACATAGTCCTTTAAAGAAAGAAGGCACAGGCTTATTGTTCAGTGCTCTTTATTCGTGTTGCCAAAAGTGCCTTCCATGTATCGCATTCTAGTACTATTTGCTGAAGGTAAAAAAAAGGATCTGCGTAGCTCACAAAACCCTATCATTGATAACAATGAATAGTGGTGTGTGTCATTATATATGGGAAACATTTCCTTATGTTATTTCACCATCTTTAGAGTTTGCATATTATTATGCCCATTATCAGTATATACGTTGTTAAATTTTTACATTATATCTTAACCAATTTTGCATTATTTGAATATCCTGTACTAGAATACGTTTTAACAAAATCAGAGAATGTTCAAAGTCAAGATTGATGTAACAGTTTCTATATAATTTGAATTATTTTTGTACCAGCAAGAGTTACCTCTCTTTATATTCTGCTTTCGTGAAATTGGCTCCGCCTATTAATTTTCGTCTATTTCCGTGATAATTCCATATATGGAAGTTGCAAAATCGTTTACAAATGTTAATCGCGTTAGAATGTAAAATGAAAGTGTGGTGTTGTAAACCTGAGTGTGTCAAGTTGATGCAGTTACATTCTCAACGTCATGATGCACAGCATTAAACGTATTGTGTACGTTCTATCGTTTACATTTCTACATGTCGCAAGTTTGAAGTTAAACATTTATAAATACAGTTTGCAATTTATCTAAGTTGCATGTAAACAGCTTTCATTTTATCAAATCGAGATAATCAAATTGCTTTATACCAGTGCAGTATGTAACTCTCGGATCGACAATTAGATTTTTACTAATCTGTTTAGTAGAACCGAAGTATGCATTGTCAAGTTTCAAAGGCTGGATTTTTGGCAACGAATAGCCTCTATAATACACAAGGGTAAAACTAAAAACAAGTAAAGATAGCATAACAAAAAGACTGGTTGAAAAACATTCTTAAAAAATCACGTACACGTACCAAATGAATTTATATTTCAAAACAAAATTGCATATTTTCTTCCATTTTCACTATCATTAATTATGTTGACTATGAATTAGTCATTATAAAAGTAGAAAACCAGAACCCCTAAAGAACGCCAAAATGACAAAATCGAAAATGTTGCAGACACGGTTTGATTGAGTCTGTTTGTATAACCGCCCACGGCCCCTAGCATCGGCCTAACAAAACAAAATAGAAACATCTAAAAATGCTCGTTTAATAAGTCGTGTTTTTATTTAGAAAATCTTAATGGTAAAAACGTGGATCATACGCATCAATTAGGAATTAGATAATACCAGCTAATCCAATTCCAACATTCCAAAATTTAAAAGATAAAAAGACCACGTTTTACGTGTAAATATCAGACAATACCATTTTTATGATTTATATTTTTTTTTATAACAAAACACAATAATGTTTAGATTCTTATTATTCTCATGCACTGAATTGTTTCTATACGAGTAATAGGTTTGCGAAAAATTACAGAGCGGGATAGCAATTTGAAAACAATAAGTGTAGGGATGTTGCACTCATTATCCATCACTTACAGACTCAATCAAACCGAGTCTGCAATTTTCATGTTGTGATTAATGCTTCAGAGGGAGATTATTTACATACCTTTACCATTTTATATACTTTCCTGTTTTGACACTTTTATTTAAAATAGTGTTAATATTTTATGACATCATTAGTCTTAGAGACGTTTAAGTACGTTAGCAGCTATACCAAAAGAAATGTTTATTTCTATGTTAGCACTGTAACCACTTTAGTCCAACTTTTATTTTTTATAAGAAATGGATCAGCCTATTCAAATGTTTAGCTTATATTATAAAATGTAGTCCTGGGCATATACGTATATCAGGTTGGTGAAGAAAATTGGTTCGTGAAATACTTAAACAAACTGCATTTAAACTTTATAAAACCGTCTGTAGTTCTCAATCGTACTAATAATTTTAGGGTATCCATATTAATAAAACGCCATTTTTATTGCGTGTTCATTACATTTAAAACTACCATTACAGAGATATTTTAAAGATTCATGCTTACGTAAAACAGGTTTTTAATCAATAAATTTAAACTTTGCATATTGATATAATGATATTCAATACGGGTGGGGGCTTGTTTATGACTATACGTGTAAACGGGAAGATAATTTCCATAACTATTTTCTGATAAGCAGATTGTTACAAACGTGCATAAGTGATAATGTGATCATTTTAAGCGGAGAAGTCTTTCACATAAACAGTGTATTATCAAAAGTAACGTGATGACTTTTTCTGATTTTAATTCTTAATAACAATTTTACTAACAAACAAGCATATGTATAGGACGATTTTATTTGTTTTGTTATAAGGACTACAAAAATGAGCAAATCGCGGGACAATATGATTTATTATTAAGTTATTTCATGTGATGAACGAAATAGTCGACTTATTTTCAAGACGTGTAAGCTAAAAAGCGAACAAACGTTCAGAAAAATATCACATGATTTTATTTTGACGGAATATTTAATTGCTTATCAGATACTGAGTGAATCAAAATGTCTTCTACAAAACGCGGCTCGGAAAACGTTTGTGCCGAACCTCAGAACAGAGAAACGCCCACAAAGAAAAGAAGAAATCAAACTGAAGAACAAGAAGAGATTGCCAAAAACTGCTCTGATGTATATGTGGATGGCTCAAAAAATTGCCTTAACGGTAAGAAGCTGCAAAGTCGAACACAAATTACTGAATAAGTCAATTTATTTGGTCAAGCGTTTATTAGGCTTGTCAAATTCGTTTTCTAAATATTTTTATTATTTGTTGTTAAGAGTGTAATTGAAATATATGTGTGTGTCTGCGCTCTCGCACGCGCGCGCGTGCGTGCGTACGTGTGTGTGTGTGTATGTGTGTGTGTGTGCGTGTGCGTGTGTGATAAAATCTCTAAAGATTTAATGAAATAGATTGCTCTGTTCCAGCTATCTCCACTTCATATCACAGCTATGATATCTACTGATATTGAAATGTGATAGTGATATGGATATTTTTAATATTAATTAATATTAGTACTATTACGTATGATAGTAAAATATGAACCTATATATGATAGTACTATATATATATGCCTATATATGATCTGCCTATAACATATTGAGATACGGTAAAATAATAAACAATTGCTTAACTTGATAATATTTAATAGTGTTAAATTATAAACATTTCGTTTGACAAGAAAATATGACTGTGTATAATGTATTGTATAAACGATTTGGAATATTGTTTTCTGAAATTGTCACCTTTAATCATACTTGGTTTATGCATTTTTGTTGATACTTAAAGCTATGCCTTTAAAGCAATCAAATATGAAAAAAGTCCGGTTTATACAAACCTCAAACATTACTAAAAATAAAATTAAGATATTCTAAATGAAAGATAGCCTGATCTGATTAACTCCATTTAAACCGATACCGGACATGAGGTAGTCGTAATCGAGTAATCGTAATTAATTGCAATTAATTACAATTTGTCCATGTAATCGATTACTTTTTTTAACAGTCGATTAGATTTAATAGTAATAGTAACAAGAGCCATGACAACATGGCCATCCCCCGCCGAATGTGTTTGCTCATTGGAAGAATGTATATGTAGTAGAGCAGAATAACTCCATTTTAAGGTCTTTTGGTAATGAAAACTGATGGCTATAGTGATTACAGATTTGAAACCTATGTGAATACTGATGGCTGAAAATAACAAAGGGCAATTACTGAAAAATAATGCAGGGTAGGTTATCATTCTTGTGTGCTGCATCCCTCCTCAGTAAAATCTATCCACCTATGAAGTTTCAAGTTGATACCTCAAATACTTTGAAGAAAAAAAATGAATTGAAAAATTAAGTATAAAAAATAACAAAGGGCAATAACTCAAAAATTATAAAGGTAGAGTTATCATTCTTATGCACTGCAAACCTCCTGAGTTAGATCTATGCACCTATGAAGTTTCATAATGATATCTCAAAGGCCTTTTGAGTTATGCTCTGGACAAAAATTAATTTTGAAAAATAACAAAGGGCAATAACTAAACAATTATGCAGGGTAGAGTTATCGTTCTTGTGCACTGCACTCATCCTCAATGAGATCCATCAAGCTATGAAGTTTCAAGTTGATACCTCAAATACTTTTTGAGATAAGCTCCGGACAAAATATTATGAAAAAGAACAAAGAGGAATAACTCAAAAATTGTATAGGGAAGAGTTATCATTCTTGTGCACAGCATTCCTCCTCAATAATATCTATCCACCTATGACATTTCATGTTGACATCTCAAACACTTTTGAGTTATGCTCCACTCGGGTGAAAAATTAGGTATGAAAAATAACAAAGGGCAATAACTCAAAAATTATGAAAGGTAGAGTTATCATTCTTATGCACTGCACACCTCCTGAGTGAGATCTATGCACCTATGAAGTTTCATATTGATATCTCAAAGGCTTTTTGAGTTATGCTCTGGACAAAAATTAATTTTGAAAAATAATAATGGGCAATAACTAAAAAATTATGCAGGGTAGAGTTATCATTCTTGTGCACTGCACTCCTCCTCAATGAGGTCTATTCACCTATGAAGTTTCAAGTTGATAACTCAAATACATTTAGAGATATGCTCCGGACAAAAATTTCGGACGGAAGGACGGACGGACGGAAGGTCGGACGGACGGACGGACGGAGACTATTACTATATCCCCCGCCGCCTTTTCGGCGGGGGATAATCATAACATGAGCTAAAAGTGGTGTAATCGTTGATTACACTTCAATTACAAATCGATTACTTTGGCGTAGAAAAAAACTTAAATTATGGAACTGCTGTATTATTATAAACTTGTGCAAATATGATGATTCATTTTAAAGAATACTGTAAAGTGCAATATCTTAAACTAGTTTTACTTTGAACAAAGTCAATTTAAGGTGAAATTTATTTAACTGAAAAGTTACTTTTAGTAAGTTTCTTTAAAACTGAGTTATTAGATTTTTCTGTTTGATATACACAGTCCTTTAGACTAAGTTATGACTTAATTATATCCCTTATAACTCTGCATCATTTGTGATGTGGCAGACCCTTTGTTCAAGCATACTTATAGCAATAAGCATAAGTTAAACATAGATAATATGTGGTTTAATGAACAGAACAGAAATTTTATTTCGTAATGTATACAATACAGTATCTTGTTATATTACACATGTCAAATATTGTAAATAGATAAACACATGATATAATTCAAAGATTTACATTATATTGGAGAATGAACATACATTGCTGCAAAATTGATTTTGTGTAAAATTAATGTATTTCAGAACGATCTCATTTTTAAGAATTATCTTATTTTGATATAAACATTAATAGCTAAACGTTTACAATATCTATGAAAATAATAACAACATTTTTACATTAAATTTATGTATAACCTAAGCTTATCATTATATCTTTTCTTTTACTATTTGCAAAATAAATAAATTTAACAATATAGACTTTTCACATGACTGAAGTAATTCTATAAATTTAAACATGCTAGGTTTTTGTATTTTCTGATCGCAGATCAGTAAATACAATGCTGACATTCAATCTCTGACACAGAAGTTTCACGACAAATCTAACAACAAGTAGTTCTCAAAACAGCTTAAAACTATCGATGTAAAAGAAAGAAATATTTTTATTTCGTTACAAGTATCAAACAATTTACAACGCATTCAAAGTTTAAAAAAGTAGCGTTGGCTTATAGAATTGTCAATCAATGCACGCGGATGAATATGATTTTAATCAATGAAAATGCTATTTTTAGCGATGTCGATTACCGAATTATAAATCTGACTGTCGAGTAGTGGAATATATATAAACATGCCGGATTGTTTGGGCGAGAAGATTTTCGCTAAATTATTTACATCAATGTTAAACAACAGGTATATCGTGAACAAAATTCCTCGAAATTAATAAGGATTACAAACCCTAATGGATATTCTAAAATTAGAATTATTTGATTTTATTCAGACTATCTCCGTTCAACTTCTCCGTGGTGCAGGGGTAACGCGCTCGTTTAGGGTGTGAGAGGTCTTCAAATCCCAGTCGGGGCAAATTTTTTAAGTGTCTTTTTTAAGGAAGTAGCCACGATATGCAAGGATAAAGGGATAAAGTGTGGCTGTCATAAAAAATGAACATAAATGATTTGATGCAACTCTAGTCATGCAAAATTCCGTATGCATCAAACTTATAGTATCAAAAATTATAGTATATAAAAATAAACTTATAACAGGAAAATACATACAGATATACAGTACGATTTAGATTGCAAAGATTAGAAAATACCACAGAGCTTGCAGCCCTTTGATTTATAATAATATCTTTTAATGAATTTAGTGCGCATTTCCTGGTACAGATTACAAACAAGTATAAAATGAAATTCGTCTTCAATATCTTGTGTATTACAAAGTTGAAATAGGCGCTCATGTCGTTCAAGTCTGTTTCTACTATATCTTCCGGATTCTATTCTTAAATTATGCGCAGATATTCTGAGACGGGTTAATTGTTGTCTACTTAATTTTATCTAAATAGCATTCCAAAGAAAAATTGTCATTGATATGTCTATACAATGTATTTAAAACGTTATTTTTAACAATATCTGCAAACCATTTTTGTTTAAAAACATCAATGACTCTTTGTTTAAAAATATTAACAAGTTCTTTTGGATTATAAAGTTCAGGACAATTCAACACCTCAGAAAAATCTAAAATTCCTTTTACTTTATACGCCCAGTTTTTAGCTATTTTTTACACTGATTTAATGTATTTATATACACACATTTAACAATGATATTGTTTGAATGTATCACTTTCAACCATATCTATTAACATAAAGTGGGTATCTTTCTAGCTCACCATAAATTGCTGCGTTACAAGAGCTTATTTTCACATCAAGAAATAGCTTGCAAAATTGTATTCTTTCTATATCTTTAGATTTTGTAAATCCCCAGACTGGACAAGCATAATTTATGATAGAGCCGACAAAAGCATCAAATAATTGCAAGGAAACAGGAGGGGATATTTCATACTTGTTAATATTACATATTAAAACGTGCATTGCTTTCAAAGCTTTACTTATAAGATATTGATTATGGAGTACAAAGGATACAGTGCAATTAAATATTACACCTAAATAATTAAAAATAACAAAACAATTTCCAAAGCTTCTTTATTATAAAACCAACGTTCATGAGGAAGTACTGGTCCTTTATTCCCAAAAAACAACTATTTTAGTTTTGGTTGTATTTACCTCTAGGCCCCATAGATAACAGCATTCAAATAAAGAGTATAATCTTTGCTGTAAGTCCTCTTGCGAGTTACCAATTATTACCATATCGCCAGCGAATAACAATATTACTATACATATGTCAAATATATTCAATCCATAATCGACGGAGTTTAGTAAAAATAATTCTTGGTCTTCTAAAAATAGTGCAAACATGGCGGGCGAATTATTTTGCCCTTGCCATAGCCCAACCGATAAATTCAAAAAAACTCTGAAAATGTATTGCAATGTTTAACGCATGACTTAACAATTGAATACATTGATTTAAAAGTTTTAAGTAACTTCCCATTTAATACCATATTAAACAATTTATACCATAATGCATGGCGGTTCACAGAGTCAAACGCCTTTTTTAAGTCCAAAAAAGC